GCACATAAAGCACTTTACAAAGTAAAAACGGCTATGGTAAACTTAATAAATATCAGCTAACATTATTATCATAATTTTGATTACAGTCAACCAGTTGTAAGTGTACACAGATTATCAAGAATCTGGAGAGAAGAGAGCAGCTGATTTTACACAGGACAGTCCAGGTAGGCTGCACTGAGAGGTTTGCACTGAGGAGCAGTCTTGAAAAATGAGCAGAATTTCAATACGAGTGAAGAAAAAGGTGATTTGGGGGAAGGAATGAGTTCAGTATCTAGCATGCTGACTCTGAGATCTTCACAGGCAGCTGGAAAAATTGGTTGGGTTCATTAGAAATAATCAAGTTATAATTGGTTTATTAGTTTTAAACCAATATGACTAAAAACTAAAACCATGGGACTATAGTGGAATGCCATGGGGGAAAGAAAAGCTGTAGACTGAGAAGAGGCAGGGGTGGAGAGCATGAAAACTTGAAACAAGGGTAAGAGGGGAGTCTTTGAAGGCAAAGACATAACAATCTAGGAAGAGAAGGAGGAGAGAGCAGGTTGAGAGAAGACTGATTTATTCAAACAGGTGTCACACAGAGTCCACAACCCAGTGGAGGACAGAGTAAGTCACTGAACTTGAACCTGAGAAGCAATACAGTGAGATGTGCAGTCCTTGGGGTTGAGACATATCTGGGTTCAAATCTCCCTTCTCACTCTGACTAGGTACCTAAACCTCAAACAACATACTTGCCCTTTGCAGTCATCAGATTTCACATATAGAGCATGAAAATAGTAGTGTCTACCTCATAAAACTGTTGTGAGTTAAAAAAGAATGAATGCACATAAAGTGCTTAGAAAATTGTCTGGATAATGACAAATACATGTGTACACTTGGGAAAACAGAGATTGGTCAATGCAAATTTAATGCCAGAGAAAATAACAGAACAATCTTCAAATTACTTTCCATCACTCAGAGGAGCCCCAGATATTGTGTAACAATTCAAGTCGGATTTCTGAACAAACAAATAATGTCAGTGTCAGACCAATTTAGTTTTCTTTCTTTGAAGAATATTAGACCAGGTAAGTAAGAGGAAAGCAAAAGACTGAATACAGCTGAACTAGCTGGGCTTTGTCTCCATGACATTTCCATCAGGAGGCTGAAGACATTGTTTAGAGCAGTGTGTCCCCAAAAGAGTGTTTTATAGAAACTTATTAAGTGTTCTGTGAACAAATAGGTTAGAGACACACAGTATAAAATGGGTGACTTTACTGTAGGGTTCTCAAATGCTTTGTAAGATAATATGAATTTCTGATCATCTGTATAGCATTTTATGAGCTTATTTTGCCATGGAATTCTTTAAAGGGTCATAGAGCGTAGTTTGGTAAGCAGAGGTGTAGATGATATTATATTACATTTTTTTGGAATTATGCTTCCTAAAGTTAATTACTAAGTTTTCAGCATCTATCTGTAGAAAAAACATTGTGTGCTATTCCACAGGGATAAGAATTTAAAGGGGGATTAGAATAAGCTGGAAAATGGGAATCAAGAGAATCCTGATGAAGCATGAAGCTGGACAGATATGCTATCTACTCGGAAGACATAAATAAAATTCCTAGAACATTCAAAATACAAGTCTATCAAAAAATAGAATGAAGATCCATAGGGAGAAAAGGAAAGATGTCTTACAGATAAAACATAAGCTTTGTAGAAAATAAGAAAATATTATCAACACACATATATATGGCTTTAAAAAAACAACAAAACACACTGGGTCTTCAATAAAAAGCACGATGCATAAAAATATCATCCCAAGAGTTATTACTTCTGCCTCCGCTGAGGCTATTATAGTGAGGAGTATGGGGAGATGTGTCTCACAAATTGGGGGGCAGTGTTTTAGAGTGTTGGGCCCTGCACTCTTCTCTCCTTGCTTACATGCTCCACGTAGCATGCGGAAAAGTGACCTTGGAGTTGCTTCAGAATTTAGGACTTCTAGGCCATTGGAATCCCAGCAAGGTCTCAGCTTAGGGACCTCCGGAGTGATGGGCTGAGTGCCTCTGAAGGGAGATCTTACAATTTCCTGATTTAATGAAGCTCTCTTAGTTCTTATGCTAGGAGTGGGCAGGAAGTGTTGTTCTGTTCAAAAACGATCCTGGCTGCTTGAGATTTTGTTAAATCCAGAGATTACTCAACATGGGTGGCATTTCTAGGTCACTGAGGACGTGGTGTTGAGGGACCAGAGATTTTAGGCACTCATTTTTACTTCTTAGGTTCTGTATTCTTGTATTAAGAAATGGCACATCCTAAGTGTCACTCTTAACAACTGACTTGTAATGCACCAACTGAAGTCGTGTATGTGTGTGCGTGTGCATGTACGAATGTAAGAAAAAGTCAATAAGAAATGAGAATCATAATAGTGCTAGAAATCCTGTGCTTGGCTTAAATTTCCACATTAAAAAAAAATTACAGGACTTCCAGGGCGAACACCAGGTAAGAGACTTGAAAATCTGATCACACAAAAAATGGATGTTAACCTAGAGAAGAAAGGAAACTGGGGTTGATACTGTCTTTTATGACTTAAAAAGAAAAAGTGGTTGGAAGTTAGGAGACATTCAATATTGATGTTAAGAAATAAGGTTTATAACAATTAAAACTGTCCAATAATTTACAAGTCTGCCTTATGAAAAAGAAGCTAAAAATAAAATTATTTTTGAACGCTTACTTTGTGACAGGTGTTTTGCTAAACACATCACATTCACCTCTCTCAAAATCCCTATGAGGTAAGAACTGTTATCATCCTCACATTACAAATGGAAAACTGAGTGTTGGAGAGGTTACTTTACTTTTTCAAGGTCACACAGTTAGTGAATGGACAAACTGGTACTTGATCCTGGAACCTGTGTACTAAACCACTAAATTGCTCAGTTCCATCCTTAGATGTCTGCAAGCAGTCTGATGTGCCAGAGATTTAGTTTAGGTGTTCTTTCCATTGCAAGACTGGACCATTGCAGATTATCTTAACATCTTTAATCTAGTTTCTGCCATATTGATGACTGAAACATTAAATTGTACCTCTTTGGCCATTGTGTTCATTTGTTACCTTCCTATTTTAACAGAAATGGAGAAAAGTCTAGAGAGGGCCAGTAAAAAGTAAGGGATGGACAGAAAATAGAATCCACAAGGAAAACTGAAAGAGGCTGCATTCCTTTGGAGTCCTCCAGGAGTGAACTGGAGGACTTCGATCCACAAAAAGTTAAGGGTATGTAAGTCATTGCCATGGAGAATATAACAAGGAATCCATCCCAATGACAAAGCTTGGCTGGCACAAGGAAGTCCTTCCAGTGAAAGTATCTTGAATTAAACAAGACTTTGAACCACAGTTATGGGTATAAAAAAAAACAGGGTCTTATTAGAATAGAAGCCAATGTCTTCAACAGCAGTCTATCCCAGCCGCTGCTCTGGTAGCCTTGACAAGTTGGCCTGCCCTGAGGACGAGCCAGAATGCCAGCAAGTGTGGGTGAATCTTCCTCTCCTCCATCCAGTCCCACTAAAGAAGCAAGCACCAAAAATGAAATCTGAGCCATTTTCTTTCAGGGAAAACTTTAAACTAAATTTGACAACCGAGGTGATAGGATTTGTTAGGTAGCTAGCCACAGGGTACACCAACAAGTAACCTCATGAGAGATTCCTTCTGAACTCACGAGTCTGTGGCCCTCAACAATGGAGGAAAGCCCATGGAGACCCCGTTAATAAAACCGTCTTGAAAAAAAAAATCAACATTTCTGCTAAACAGAGCTTTATGTATTAATTTTAGGAGCTAGACTGTCAGTTTTTCCTTTAACACAGAAACTGAATACCTTTAAAAAGAGGGATTCTTATTAACCTTTGAAGGAGTTTTGTTTCCCGCTTCATAGAAATTTTATCATAATTTCATGCCCCCATACTCCATGGCTTGTTACTTGGTCCATTACTCCTACGTTTAACTTGATAAGGCCCTGGTTCCTGTGATACTAGTTTTCAGGGTTTGGTTTCTCACAGCTGCTGCCTTGAAGTGCCTGATAATACTCTTGGCCTTGCACGGAGCCAGTGGCTTTTCAAGTTCTCATTCTCCCACTGCTCACTGTCTTGTTATTTCTGTTACTTCGCACTTGAGTGGGTGTATTCTCAGCCTAACCCTTTCTCTACTTTTAAAAGAGGACAAACCTTGGGCTTTTGTGAATGGCTAATTGGTCCATGCATGGAATTGGCCGATTTATTCTGGAAGTAATCACCTCTCTCCTTGAGCGTGTCAGAACGTGTTTTCCTGGGGATATTCAAGGATTTCAGAGAGGCACACAAGTGAGTGGTAATGCGGCATCTCTTGTGGTTCCTGTGAACACAGATAATGCCTGTGCTCTTTTCTTGTGCACACAAACATCCCTTTTCTTAATGTGGTCCCTGCAGGTCTATAGTCATGCTCTTTATGGAAAGGTGGCCTCTACTAACAGGATCCATGCCAGGCATGACCTCAACTGGTAGAATTAGGAAAAAGTCAACCGTTTCACTGGGCAAAGTTAAGCTGCAGCTAAATTGGTAGAAGGAAGCATCTTCTAGACAAAGCATCTCTTAGGTTACCCAGTATGGGAAATGGGATTGTAAAAATCCAGAGAATTTCTGGAAGTAGTTTATGGTTAAAATTAAGTTAGAGTTGAGATTTTTGAATGCCTTTGTTATTTTAATAGTTAATTGATTTGAGGAGGGGAGAACTTTCTGTTTCATCCACTTAGAAAAATTTCTCCTATGGTTTTCATTACTTCCCAACACATTTGATGTGAGTGTTGGAAGACTGAATTTAACAGATGATCCAAGTGCTAAAACGTGCTTACAAGTGGTAAAGTAGGGAAAGAGAGCTTTAGACGCATTTTGAAGAGGAATGGGACTGCTGGTGGGAGGAGCAAAAGCACCACTGCAAGTGAAATTGAGAGGAACTGTCAGCTCATCATGTACAAAATACGGTGCGACCGAGCAACGCTACTCACAGGTATTTGCAGTGCCTTTGGGGATGGGGAGATACGAGCCTGGACTCCAAGGCCGGCCCTGGTAATTCTTCTTGCATTTCCCACAGTCTGGACCTGTGGTGTTGTGCTCACATTCACAGGTCAGTTTGCTGTTGTCATACACACACACGGTGGCATGGAGATTACATTTGCACCTAGGCAGAGGAGAGACAAGAGTTCATTGTTAAGTCAGCTGGTCTTGGTGATCACTAAGGCTTTCCGCATCTGTCTCCTAGGACTGTGGCTCTCACAACCTGCAGCGCTTGAGTGCTACCTAGAGGCTCTTGATAAAATACAGATTGGCAGGACCGACCTGCAGAATCTCTTAAATAAGGATCAATGGGGTTGGGGGTGGGGTTATGCTACAGCTTGACCTCACATCACACTTTGAGGAATCCTAATACCAGTCAGTCAATTCAGTGGGGTCTGAAGGTCCCCTAAGGCACCTGTGCTCCACAGTTAAGGGTTTCCCAACAAATACCCAACATACTGCCACTAGGGAGCGGTTTTTCTGTGCTATTATCAAATCTACGACAAAGCATCTGGGTTTGAAGGAAAGTGTCATCTTCTGTTTTTCCTTAAACCAGGACAATTCTTATTTGTTTAAAAAGAAATATAACCACTGAGACAATTTGTTATTTGGATTTATTTTATAGACCCAAGAGGTTGTAATCAGGTGTTTTCATTCTGGGCTCTAAAATGACATTCCTCAGTCAGAAGAGTTTTTCCACCAAGGCCTCTAACCAACCTGAGTAGTCCTCAGATTTCCTACTCATGTAACATAATCACAAAGGTCTCTCAGAAACGGGTCAGACGACTCAGAAAACAAGATGCTTAGAATCCTAGAAAATAAAGACCTATGTGTGGCAGGGGTTTGCGGTCATGAGCCAAGGCTTTCCCTTTGGTGCCCACGAATAAAGCTGGGATATATGAGAGGCAGCAACAGAATATGCAGTTTCCACAAAATACGTTCCCATATCCAAAGGCTTTGACTGTAAAATTGCAAAGGCCAACTTGTTATTTGTTGAGGTAGCAGGTTACAAATTTACCACACCAACCACGAGCCGTATCCTCTGGAGCAGGAAAACACAGGTCAACAGAATGTCCGTGACCAGAGGTCAGAATGTATGTGGGAAGAGATGTGTCCACACACAGGAGAAAACCTGGATACCCAGGCCTGGGGCTGCCAGAGTCAGAACCCGAAAATGCGTGGGTGTGTGTGCGTGCACTTTTAATTAAACTGGTCTGGCCTCTTCAAGGAACTAGGTCAAAAATACAGAAAGCCAAGCTTGATAAAGACAAAGAAATATTGTAGTGCTTTACATTCGTTTTCTTTTGTGGCACATGTCATGAATTGGGAAATAGAACAATATTCTTTCTTAGGTAAGAAGATAAGGTTCTTTAACAACTGCTGTTGGTTTCTATGATGTCTGTACAGAGACACCCAAGTTTCTTTCTTGGGTACTGATGGTCTGTTTGGAACACCGACCCAAACCATGGCGAGGAAGCAAAGGAGCGGCAAAGACCATTCCTAAGAGCTGCTGGGCTCTCTTCTAACTGAGAGGTGTAGCCCGCAAAGCAATGGCCACCCGTTCAAACCTCCCTGGGTAAGACCAAGCCGCAGCTTCCTCAGGGGTCAACTACGATCTGTCATACTTGTAGCTCCACTCTGCCCTCTACAGCATTAGAAAGTATAATGAGCTGAAAGGCTACTATTTAAATAATACCTATTCAGCCTCAACACATAAACACAATCTTTAAAAGTTAACATTTGCACAATCTTTAAAAAAGAGAAAAAAAATCAGTTAAGTGAAACAGACAGTGATTAATCAGGAGCTAGGTCTTATAACAGTCTCCTACATGCCGGGAGTTACTTGTGCTCAGTTGCTTATTAAAGGATCTTTCGCCTTCCCCCATTAGCACCTTTATTTATGGGTGTGTTTATATATGTGGAAGATGTTAGAAACCTAAGTGATAGAAGCAGCAGCTTATACTGATTTAGCACCCACTCTGGTGTTAAAAATTCCAAATGAGGAAATGAACAATGTGACCCCAAAGAATATGCTGGTTTCAAGTGTGAAGACACGCAAGTAGTAATTGTAAATTGGATTATATATCTTGTAACCGTTAATACTACCATGCTGGTAGTTCTCTGAGTTACAGGCAATTTCCATTCTGAGGACTTTATATTCACTGAGAAAATGTTCTTCAAACAACAAAAGGAAGTGAAAGGAGAATGGACGAATATTTAGTCTTATTTTTCTCAGATTTCTTTCAATTCATGGTTCATCTTCAACTCTCCAAAAGCTTATTAATCATTCAAGGCTCAACTCAATTCATAACTCTTTCCTGACACCCATCCTGCCCACAGTAGACATCCTGATCTCTATGGTTCTGATTTCCTTAAACGTCTTTGTGCGTTTGGTTTGGTTGGTTGTTACTTAAGGCTCTGTCTGCTTTTAGATTTTAGGCGTTGCGTATTAAGGAAGAAAAATATCCACTTCGTAGCCTAGTCTTCCTTTCTAACTACCTCTTTAACACTCTACTTTCTCTTCTTGAGTTTTCAACACTTGCTATCTCCTTTTTCTCATCTCCCATTCACTCACTGTTTCTAACTTACCACAGCCAGGATCACCTGTGACCTCCTTGTTGAAAATCCAACAGTACTTTCCTCGCCTTGACCCCGTAGGGGCATGTGACTCTGTGACCCATTCCCTTTCCCCGACACTCTCTCCCCACTGGATTCTCAAGGTCTTTTTCAGAACCGTCTTCTGTGCGCTATCTTCATGTGCTATTCTTTGGGTTCTGGACCAGCACAGTCAGCCTAAGCGACCCTCCTTGGGCATAGTTATCCAGGTTGTCCTTTCAATTTCCTCTGCGGCCCTTAACTGCCTTTGAGTTATACACATTTTAAAGCAAACTTGCATTATTTTTTCCCTAGGACAAAAATGAACATATGCAAAATAAACTCAAACATTTGGAAACATTGTAGGAAATTCAGAGATTCTCTGGGATCCAGAGAACCCTCTCCTTTCGTTATCACTAAGTGAAGGTTATCTGACCAACAAGTTGAAAAGCCCTGGTGCTGTATCTTCATCATGGATCTCTCTCTTGGGCGTGTCAAACTCAGCATATCCAAAACTAAATTCTTTGGCTTCCCTCCCACCTACTCCTCCTTCTGTGTTTCCTGCCTCAGTATACTGCATCACCTTCCAGTCAGCTGGTCAAGCATGACTACACTTCCCTTCCCTTTCCTAGCTGACCTGTCCCTCCTCAGTCTCTCACCAAATCCTGAGCTTCCTCCTTCTTGATGACTCTCAGATCCAGACAGTTCCAGCCATTGCCACTTTCCTAGCTGATATCATCATTATCTTTGACCTGGCTCATTACAATGGCTTCTAAAGAGATCTTTCTGCCTCCAGCCATGTTCCTCTTTAGCCCAAGCTCATCACAAAAGTCAAAACAATCATTTACACAAAAATATTTGGGTCACCCTGGCTTAGAATCATTGAAAAATTTCCCATTATTGTCAGAATAGAGTCCAAGATCTATATAACATGGCCCACAAGTCCCTTTGAAATCTATCTCTTGTCGCTTCTCCAGTCTCAACTCCACCACTGCCAACTCTACCATTAGTTCTACAAACTTCGCCTTTGGGTAAACTTATAAGCTGTTCCTTCTGCCTAGAGCATACCTCTGCCTCCTTTACCTGCATAATTTTTGCCATTTGGGCATGAACTTGGAAATTTCAGTGTTTGGCTCCTAGGTGACACTCAAAAAACAGCTGCTGACTATCTGAACGCTTCTCTGACCCACCGGAATGCCTTTCCTATGAGCTCCTCTGACACGAGGCAAGGCCAGTCACAGGATGGAGCCTGCACTGTCACTGCTGTAGACTTCGGCCGTGTTGTAGCTGTTTTCTTCTGTCACTCTTGCTGGAGTGTAAGCTTCTGGAAGCAGCAGACATACTTGCCTTATTTACTGTAACATGCTTAGCATGTGTCTAGTTACTTGGCACATAATAAGTGTTTAAAAAATGTCTGACAAACAAACAAAGGGCTAATAAACAAGTACATTTCCTGAAAGCAGGAACTTCATGTGCCTCTTCTACTATGATGAACACAGCAATGGACTGAAAATAGAGAATAGGCATTAAATCAAATACCCCATGATGTGTGCTGAAAATTGCCATATGCCCTCACCACTGGCTTTCACAGCTGACCTTATACTGGGCAGACGGAACTCTATAAAACTGGTGAGACCTTGTAAACCCAATTTAATTGCATTTAAACTCCAGAGGATTTGTCAAATGTCCAAAACCCAACACAAGAACTATCCTAAAAAAAGCCTGAAAGACCCAGGAGAAGAACACGACTTAGAGAAGAGGAAAAACAGAGCATGTGTGTAGCATAATTATTCTGGAATGTGCATCTTTTAGCTTCAACAGCTCGTGTAAGGATGGCCACCCTGGTTCAGCTAAAGTTTGGCAGAACATTGCTTGGACGCTGGCGACAACTGTAACTTCTCCAGCAGTAAATCTGCTGACCGAGCTCAGCTTCCAGGCTGTCTTCCTTCGTTCATTGTGACAACGGCTGTGCCAGGGCCGAGCTTGGGAGAGCAGACACTGACGCGTCACAAGATGGGACTCTGTTTGGAAATGGCTCCCTTTCACATTCCGCAGCTCAGTTTATTCTCATCACCCCATTCCAGTCAGATGCTAAAATCCTTTATTTAGAGCCCATGACAGAGTGGCTTTTCTTCAACGGGGGGAAAAAAAAAAAGCAATGGATTTCACAGTGCTGGGCGATTGCTCTCAGTTCCTGGTGCTGTGACCTCCAGCCTTGTGATGGGGTGGAGGGCAGACTTCCGTGACATCCACTTGTCTCTGACAGATTCATTATCCATTTCCATGGCCATCCGGCTGCCACGGCTTCCGTCACATCAGGAGGGGGAGGAACTGTACGAGCGGAGACCTGACAGGCCTTGCTCGCGGTCACATATCTGATGTTCTGGAGAGCTAAGCCCATTCACCGACTCTGTTCGCACACACACAACTCACACCGAGACTCTGCAGACAGAACTAACGGACTCACTTGTACCTCAGAGATCCCCTGGTGTATAAGTGACAAATCGTCCACCACTGCCAAATAAGGGC